CCTGCGCGTGTTCCAGGAACGTGGGTGGACACGCGCTGCCTGCCCACTCGTCTTCTTCCTTCGTCGGCGCGTGGGGCGCGTGTGTGCGAGTGGTCTTCACTCGCGATATTCAGGTGGCGCGTGGCGGCGCGTTAGAGCTCCGATTGGCCTGTGGTTTGAAGTTTTGGACTCCTCTCCTCCTGGCCTTCCTCCTGGTATGCTCAAAAGTGGATTTCGACCACTTCGAAATCTGGACACTTTCGGAAAAAACTCGATTTTTCTCCACCCGGGCTCTGATACCAATTGTTGCGGATCTTGGGCACACCAGGGGACACTCACAAGCAAAAACACAAGAGTTTTAACGTGGTTCGGCAAACCGGCCTACGTCCACGGGAGCGATGTTGTTATATATCAACAAATGGAGGAGATTACACACTCTCAACTCACTGTCTCTCTATATAACACACTCACTCACACTCTCTGACAAACAGAAAATAGCTCTCACTAGCTCTCTCTGTTTTGTGCCTTTCTCTCAGCAATGTGTTTTGCCATTTGCCCTGTCTACAACTCACCATCACCATTCCATTTTATACACCTTGGAGTAGGTGGGAGTGCCATTGGGTAGCCTCCATGCTTGACTTCGGCAGCCTCCTTCTTTGACATGGTTGGTAGCCTACTTCCTTGTTGACCAACCAAGGTGTGTTCACAAGATAATTTCCCCTTCACATGGGGTGAATTCAACAAAGCAGTCCCACTAATTTCAGGCCTATGCCTAACATTGCTGATATAGTGGTTTGGATTCCATCTGTTGATAGGGACATATGTTCCTCTACAACTGCCTGAGAAGCTATCTGTATAATTCATTGGCCCAAAATTGTTTGGCTTCCTCAAAATATACATAGTAGTGCATTCTTCTTAGGGAAAAATTTGTGGTAAAATTTATGAGTGGCAAATTTATGATGTGCACCATAAATTGAAAGCGTTGTACTTTTTGTGGCAAAAAATTGAATTTTTTTATGATTTATGTTATAAATTTTTATGATATTGTTATGAAGGATATATCATATACATACTTTTAAGGGTGCAAATAGTAGCATCTCCCTTCATCTTACGGGCCCTCTCTCATGGAAGAATGGTTTCAAAGAAAAGATTGCTAGAAAGAGGTATGACAGTAGATCCTATCTTTTCCTTTCTGCGACAAGTTTTACCTCACATAATTAATTGGTTTATTTGGTGGCTTGCATCTTTCTGAGTAATAATAATGCTTGCATCTCATCCTCCAACTCCATTTTGATTGATGCAAGCTGGTTCACAAGGCTGTGGAATTCACTGGTGTGTTCAGCAACAGACACACCATTCTTCAGCTTCAAGTTTATAAGCCTTCTCATTATCAAGGCTTTGTTCCGTGCGGTCTTGGACTGGTACATGCCCTCCAATTTCATCCATAGGGCATAGGCGTCTGTCTCTTGGGCAACATGGTGGAACACACTGTGGTCAATCCACTGTCTGATTCCTGCTCATCAAAATATCCAACACAAGCTTCCCCATGAAAAACTTTGATTTTTGTCAAATTTTCCGCATATGATACCCTATTTAAATGCTTGACCAAGATAAAGTGCATTCTAAATAAATTTATTTTAAACATAGAAAACCAAGAACCTATTTGAAAGAAAATGTCTATCCAAGAAGTAAAACTATCCCAATATCCAAACCAAATGCAACCATGCTTAAAAGATAAAAAATGAGCATTCAAAATTGATGTACTTTTCACACTTAAACCACACACCCAGAAATATATCTCACACACACAGGGAACACAATATTTACGTGGTTCGGCCCAATGCCTACATCCACGGACAGAAATGAGAAGTTTTCACTAAAATGGAGCAAAATACAAAATACAGAGGAGGAGATGAAACTCACTCAACTCACAGCTCTCACTCTCTAATTTCTGATCTGTATCTCATCCTCTCCCTCCCGTCTCTATTTATACACAAAGGAGTAGGTGGGAGAGCCTTCATTCTTGACTTGGGTAGCCTCCATTCTTGACCTTTGCTATGGTTGGTGGCCACCAAGCTTGACTTGGTTGGTTGTCTTCCTTTGTTGACATGAGGATCACCCCTTTCACATGGGGTGACCTTCAACACTTTTCACACTTAAACCTGAACCGTGATCATCTGTACAGACTCCCTACTTTCTCAAAGCATGAATGAATTGATACAGACCTATATATAACAATGCATAAAACTACGGAAAACAAAAACTATGCCAGCTGAAAGGCTGAATATTTGCTTACCAAATGTATAAGCAGTTGGAAACAATGACCGATCTGTTGTGTTATTCTTGAATATGATTGTTGTGTTGTTGATGCATTCCCAATCTGAAACATCATATCTCGCAATTTCTTTGTCATTCAATGGCCTCAGCCTTACCGAAACAAATATCTTCTCTTCATGGGCATTTGATCGCGCATCCCAATGTGTAAGCTCATCCCCACTAATTGACCCCATTTCTTACCCTCTCTATTCCGCCAAATCTAACACACTTGAGTGAACTACCAAGGGTAGATCAGACACAATCTCCTTGAAATTCCTTCATTCTTAGATTCTTTATTTTGAACCAACAACATTCTGGAGTAGTTTTTTCTCTGGATTTCTCACCCGTTTCACAAAACCTTGGCATTATTTTGCAATTCAATCTCTCATAGTGATATATCTTTTTCTTTCACCTCCCGAATGAGTTCATGCTATCCTTTAAATCTTCCCTGAAACAACACAACCCCCAATGAAACTTCATGTTTGTTATAACCCCAAAAAAAAAACCTTCTTTAGAAATTCCTTTATACACATACATTGAGGACAATACATACAGAAATATATACATAAGTGCAACATGTACATGTTTTACAAGTGTAGCATGATTTTATGTGTTTGTACAACATTTAAATCAGAAACTTTTATCAGATTTGATTACATTACAATACATCCAAATCAAGCTCCTTTTACCTCTTTCAATTCCTATACAACATACATGCAGTGATTCTTAACAAGATATTTCAGCCCAAATTTCAAACTTTCTCGCACGTAAATCCTAATTTTCAAAACTGTCAGCTATAATTTTCATAATATTTCATGAAAACTTCTTACCTTACGTAGATTCAATCCCATAAACAAAACACAGATCTTCCGAAGAAGTTGGCACCATTGCAGAGAATGCGAGCAGAATTGGGCTCTGAATTTTTTTTTTTTGAGAAGTTGAGAGTTCGATTGTGAGAGTTAATGGCTAAAGAAAGAGTGAATGGGCTTAAAAGACGGAGAGAAGTCGGAGTCTGCAGAGAAAATCGGCGAAAAATTTGGAAAAATATCCAAAGAGTTTTGAAAGATGAAGATGGAGAAGAAACTCTGCAATGGTGGATCCCATTTTCTCTCTCTTCTTTCTCTGTCTTCGTGAATCGTGGGTTGGTTTGAAATAAAACCGCCGGCAACTAAATTTAAGCAGGGTTTGGAATATTCTAAATAAATGTATTTTTTTATTTTTTTATGAAATATAATTTGAGTTTGAAATGATGTGGTAGAGAGAAATAAGATGATGTGTTTTAAATAAGATAGTTATTTTTTGACTTTTTTAGAAATATCAAACCTAACCTTAATAATAGAATGTTAAAAATAGGGAAAATTGGCCTAAGGTCCCTCCTCTACTTTTGATATGAGGAGAGGTCCTTTATAATATGTTTTGATGGCTAAGGTCCCTTAAATTTATTTTAGGTTATAAAGTACCTAAATTACCCTTCCTTTATAACATAAATTTGTTTGAATATTAGATGGTTTACTTAACTGATACATTTTGGAAACCGAATTTGAAGGGGAGATTTTGTCGGAGTTTTCGTCGGAGATTTCAGTGGAGATTTCTTCGGAGATTTCAGTGGAGTTGACGAGAAAGATTGCTACGATCGTGTAGATTTTGTTGGAGATTTCGTCGGAGATTTCAGTGGTGTGATAGTGTATTGATCGCGTAGATTTATCCAACCTTCACCCAGGGTTTGTTTTCGATGGAGATAGCACATGCATTTTGATATTTGTTTTGAATTTTTGTGTAGAGAGAGGCCATTTTTTTTATGTTTGTTCTTAATACATTAAAGTGTTATTATAAGCGTAAGACTTGGAAGTTGGGAGAAATTAACATTGCTTTATCCTTGTTAAGTTAAAATAGTAAATGGATACTAGAGCATACTTGACATATTTTAAGAAGTCAACAATCAAGTTTAAATAAGTCGTGGAGGTTGCACACCTACTTAAAATTACTGATGCTGAATTTTATTGATTAGTGTGTGTTGAGGACTCAATACATTTTACTCAATCAATCAACGATTGAGTTTGAGTTATAAACTATGCATTAGCGTCAAAGAGTTCCACAAAATACAATAACAAAACAAACAGAATAACCATGTCAGCAAAAAGAGAGAGAGGGCTGAAGCTTTAAACCAATAAGGATTGAAGAATTACGTTCATCCATCTACAGCGCAATGCCACGTCCCGAACTGTCTTATCTTTTAACTGCATTGCAATTTTTGCATACCGCACAATGTTGCGTTCTGAGGAATATCTGCAAAATGGTGGACAGCCGAATCAATAAATACGCACACATGCATTATATAGGAGAGAAGTTACAAAGAATTAGTAAAGGCATAAACATGATTTTAAATTTTAATAATATAGTGGCTAAAACAATATTTGACTACAAAATGGAGCACAAACTGTCTTTAATGTTGTTGTGTTTAAGTTAAAGTAATTGCTTACAAAGAAACCTTGTAAACTATAAGGTTGTAAACCTTTGAACCTGAAGCCAAATCACTTGATGTATATTGAAGGGCCCATGAAGCTACTTTACTTGTGACAAATTAAAATATATACATATATATGCATTTGAATTATTTTAACTGCAATAGAAGTAATTATCATTAATCAATATATATAAGTACCTCGAAAAATAATAATAGTAATGAACTCATTTGACCCAGTTAACACAACATTGAAACTCATGATACTTTAAAATACTAGTCTTTATACAAGTGTAGTAGCATATTTTGATATTGGAGGGGCATACTGATACAATTCCTGAAATTAAACAAGCATTTGTACTGAATCCAAACAATTTCTTATTTACCCTTGATTCCAGTTTAATTTTCAAAAAGAAAAACCAGTGAAAGCCAGGCATCATAACAAGAAAGAAAAAAATAATTAAATCAAACTGAATAGACACATATTCAAATCAAATCAAGATTGAAAGAATTACAAACAATAATCCACAAATTCAGCAGATGGGTCACCAAGAAACACAAATATAACAAATACCCACATACATAAAGAGAGAGAAGGTTGTGATTACTGACTTGTTGAGCAAATCCTCCAAGAGGTACTGCTCGTCCGGGGTCCATTCGACGGAGAGACCAGGGTTGTGGCGGAGCGCCGCCTGGGTGGGACCCACCGGCGAGTTGTCATGGGGAACCGAACTGCCGTTATTGGTGGCGCCATTTGCATTGGCTGAAGAACCTTCTTGATCATTATTATTATTACTATTATTCCCAGAAGGGTTTGCACTCGCAGCCATCGACCCACCAAACCAATCAATAAAATAGAGGGTAATCAATCCCATGAATTGGTCACCTTCACCACAAAGACCACTAATGGAGAAGCAAAGATACATTGACCATGGTAGAGAGCAGAGATGATAGATACAAATAAAATCTGTATATATAGGTTACAGTTTGTAAATGCCATCAAATAAGGGGTAGTAGAAGCATATAGTTATAGAAGACAAGGACAACATGGGGACTTTAAAATTTTCAATTTAAGGGACTAGGTGAGTGGGTGGCTTCACGAAAGTGAATTGGGAAGCATTATTGAAGCCACTCCAGGTAGCTTCTATGCCTTTGGACTTTTGTAAAGTGTTTGTTTTTTAAAAAGAATTATTATGTATGTATTATATATAAACAAACAGCTTTAATAAATATAATCTGGGGGTGGGGTAGAATGCAGGAAGGATGGAGTTAGCTAGCTCTTCGTTCAACTTCACTGGAAGTGGTGGCATCTGCTTCATTATCTCCGGCATGTCATTCATGCTGCAATTCAAATTAGCATACATGACTAACATATCACTCGATTATTCAGTGTAATGGAATATGATGCACACGTGAACTTGTATGCATGTCAGGGCAAGATTTTCAAATATTAAATGCTACCATTGTGCACTAACTGTCACGGGACGTAACAGCCTCCCCCTTGGGATAATGCGTTTGACCTTTGAATGCTATACAATGCTGAATCCTTAATCTTTTGTGGGATGCAAAACACACCCTTCAAACTTTTTAAAAAATGTAAAAAAAGACATTCTCAAGATGCCACATCATGAAAGGTATTCAAAAGGACAATCAATCATGCTAAAATTGAGCATTTTGAGGGGGATGCTTAGCCTTGTCTTCCGGATATTTCTTCTCAAAGTAGTCAGTTTCTTTTGGTCCTAAAATGCAAATACAGAATAACTAGAGAAACTTGATCCCAAAAAAAACTAAAGTAAAATGTCTCTGGAAACTGGAAGAGTGGCAGCAAATACAAAGTAAAAATGATGGTGAACAAAAATAGTGTGTAACTAACTAAACTGCCATACAAGGTTTAAAGCTAATATTCAAACATGTAAAACATATAATTTAAGTGAGAAATATGAACTAATGTTATAAAAGATCATGCTGATAATGACAGAACAACAGCCACAAAGCACAGAAAGCATCTGACATACTCGTTCAATATTGTGAGGATGTTATTTTGAGTTTGGCAAAAGAGATTGATGTTTTCATGTATCTGCAAGAAAAAAAGAAACAAGACTGCATAGGCATCATCAATCTGCTACCAGGTATAAAGCTTCTGTGTTTGATTCAGCAATGAAATCAATATATTAGAAAGCAAGAATCATTTTAATAAAGGTTATTTATCGACTCCAGAAACAACAAGGAGTACTTCACAGACCAAAGGTTGGGACATGTGCCGGTGGGTTCAGATCTATAATTAATGGGCCCCACATAAAAGATTACTGATGCCAAAACAAGACGGTTGAATGAATGTTCACAATTTGTAATTGATAAACAGATTACAGTGGAGTGTCTAAAATCTAAGAAGTACAAACACTTCTAAGAAGGTGGTATGTCCATGTCCAAAAATGACACTCATTGAACACTTCCAATACCTGTCGGACATACGTTTAAACATGACCTGTTATTATTATTATTTTTTTTTCTTCTATAGATGGACATGCTATATAACTATGCATAAACTTTCATTTTATACATAAACTGCTCTTTTTTTAAGTTTGCCAACACCATTTCACCTATAAAAAATAATATTTAAGAAATATGAAATCTACTCGTGTCTTAAGTGTCTTGGCCATGAAAGTTAGATAAATCTGGCACTTAAAGGTACATACCAACACCCTACACTTGTCCCTGAATCCACGTAACATAGTTCTAGACTATCCTCTTACCAACACAAAAGTAACAAAAAATCATCAGGGGTCTTTGATGCTTACATAAATTGAATTTGCCCACTGGGTTATCCACATCACTTGGAAACTAAACTTTGCAATATCACCGTATAACAGTGAAATCAATGAACTCACTCACATAAAATATAAGGGATGCATTGAAATCCTGATAGATTTTCATTATTTACAAATGCCTTAACAAAGTATTTGAAACGTTATCAAAAGCACAACACATTTTCAGTTCAATCCTACATAAAACACACTTGACTGATGCAACAGCTACCTAAATGCTAGAGCATTTTATTATATGAAAATTCATATAAATATCTGCCATTTTACATAGAGCATTAAATAAATACCTTGTCATATAATTAATTAGCAAAAACAAGATTCACATAACTATAAATTCTTGAATACCATCTTACAAGTCTATCACAACCACGAAACCCAAAGATTCTAGGAAGATTATTTTTTTTCTTTACTATTATATTATCCATGACTCCAAAACAATAAACCATTTATGTTACCCTCAAAGATGCAAAATTCGCAGAAATTTGTTCCAAGGCTTGGCCATTTTGCTCAAGAAGCTCTCCTTTCACGCCACCAATAGCTGCAACATACAATGCAATGTACATTGTGACTACAATGCAGGAAGAATTACAAGAGGGAAAAAATATTTTGTACCTTCAATATGTACTAATGGTCATAACCAAACAAGTAACACATGAATTGGAATTATGCTCTCCTCTGGCTGTACCATTTCTTGGTCAATGTAAATATCACCATGTACAAGTAAAGTAGAAAAATTCAACACATCCACCAGTACTGCAATATTAACAACCATCAATTCCAAAAGGTTTAATTTCGGGTTAGGCCACCAGATTCAATTGACCTGGAGAAAATTCATTTTTTACAAATTTTTTGTTTAAACTTTTATTAGACGTGGAATTCTTGTGTTAGATTCTAGTTCTTGACTTCTTGGTTGCTATTAGGATGAATCCCAAGACTGAGTTGAGTCAGCCATTCACCAGCTGTCTGCCAACTTTATTAGGTGGATCATTAATGCATGAGAAGCTACATTGTGTTTTTCTACCACTCACTTCTCTTACAGTTCTGAATGAACTGAACTACACTGGACCATTGCTTTTTCAGTAGTGATGGGACCATTGCTTTTTTGGCCAGTAACACATAAATATATTTACTTGGGGGAGGATGGGAAAGGAGAGGCACAAGCGGTTTAAATGATGAGCAACATGATTAATTGGAGGAGTGAGTTTGATGCCCATACAAGCGCATATTGCCGGTCATTTTACAAAATTTTCTTGAGCTAACTACATTTTTTTAAGAGTTAGGTTCTGTGTCCATACAAAAGGAGTTCCATGGTCCATCAGCACTATAGTGAAAAAAACACTACTTAAGATAGCATCTTGATGTGCCTTCCCTAACTTATTTCATCTCCTTGTTTCTCTCTACTTACAAATTCTTTACCATTCAGAACAACCCTACACTTTGAAATTTCAACCATAAGAGTTTATCAAAATAACTTACAGTCATTTCCCAAATTCTTCATTTTCCACATTTCAAGCGTAGAAGGCACACACCTGAGGAGTCCAGCTTTTTTTGTTGTCAATCATATTTCATTGTAAACCATATTTTTGTGAGGCATTATACAATTTTTAAACAAAAATAGCATAGAACAGTCATGAAATGCCAGAAATTTCAATAAAGCAGATAACAGTGCAACCAAATGCAAAAGTTCAGCAATTTAAAAATGCATATATAACACAGGTGCAAATATTTATATGTACAAACTCCTTGCCTCATCACCATTTGCCCCTGGACTTATCTACCTAAATAGATAGATGAGAGTCTGACCAACCTTTGTATGAGATCCCATCATCACTATCCATAGAGATCACTGATTGAGCATATGGAGGACCATTTGAACGGTTTGTAACATGAGACGCTGACTTTGCCATAGGGTCTGTAATTTTTTCCTGAGAAGAGATTGGGGTTAACAAATTTGAGAGCAAGTATCAAAATTGTACAGAATGCAGTCAAGTACAAACTAATTATACAATTTGGAAGCTTGTTACACATGTAGAACTTTTGAACCGATGACTTCTACAAATTATCCTTTGGCTCCTTCATGCATGTAATCTTACTTCAAAATGTTGGCCATATGGCAACTTTACCTAATTTCTTTCTTGCTTTATTTTTCTTTTTTATGTCAAGTATGGCAACTATACTTATTTTACAACAAAAATGGTAAATTGCACAATGACCTGCAAAAAGAGCATCTTCCTCCAAACTTGCTGAAGGCCATTGCCCTCGCCCAAACTAACAAAGAGGGGAGCCAATCCTCAAATGGGCCACACACGTCCTACAAACTCAAGAAAGGAACAAATAACCGGACAACCCTCAGATGTGCCCCACAGGCCCTCACTGGAGTCAAAAGGATAGCCAGAGACCGAAAAGGAACAGTACCCACCCCTCAGGTAGGGCCACAGGGTCTAGCAGAGGCCAAAACTGGCATGCAATTTCCCTCAGTGCCACTTTTTAACTAAGTACTTGAGGACAGTATTAACATTACTGCATTTGACCGAACAATAGATATGAATTTCTTAGCTTAAATAAAACCATTTTATGTCCTAAGAAACCAATTTTTCCATGCAACACGTCTTTTGGGCTAAATTTTTCAGTATAACCAACATAATCCAACTAAACTTTGCCAGGCGTAATATGTAATTATTATAAACTTTAACTATATGGCAACTTTTCCATGAGGAATGAAGGAAATGGTAGTAGTATAAGAATTTCAAGTACTACTCTTAGGACATACTATAGACACATTCTTACACACATACCACGAAAAAAAAAAAAAAAAAAAAAAAATTAACAT